ACTTTTATTAAGAAAGATGATGACCATTCCTACATTTTGTTTCTTTACCTATCAACAATTCATAAGGTTTCGAACTGATCACTGACTGTGATATGGATGATTTATAGATAATTCGGGTACTTAGTAACTAAATTAATAAAAACAAATTGTAATTAAATAACTATTTATTTTATTTTTAAATAAAGCATTAACTTGCTACTTTTATTAGCCTTCATAATTCGGCGCAAAAACTTCGATTCAATACTGAGAAAGTTAATATGAATATTGTTCTTATTGTTTTTACTTAGTTAAAATTGAAACAATAAGTTTTAAGAATGTCTATGAAGGAGGGCTAAGAGGTTTTAGGTTAGGGCACCATGCTTCGAGACCATTTTGCAAAGCCCTCGAGACGCATTTGCATGCAGTGTGCGTGCAATGTATTTGTCCGTTCATGGTCAACGTTATACTCCTTGTAAGGGACGTCCCAAGCAAGGAAAGCGGTTGCTTAAAGGCCCCCATCCATGGGGGAACATGTTCCCGGAAAAATCATAGTAGTATATTCGAAAAATGTCATAAAATATGTTTGTATTTGTAAAGTAACTGTTAATCAATTATTCTACTGCACTAAAAGTTTGTTACTTTTCTTTTACATTCGTGCGAAAATTTATTATATTATAAGGAGTGTTTCTTTAGTAAATCTGAAGATTTATTTTCGGAGGGAGCACCGACCAACTTCATAGTTGGGGGCTCCGCAGTACTTAAATCCGCCTGCTCTTGGAAGTGATCAGTTAGCTGCGTATTTGGAGGCCCGAAAAACTGTAGAAATAGGCATTTAAAAGGACACTATACATTTTACATATAATTTTTTATGTACTTGTGTAGAAAGTTTCTGAAGTAAACATAATATAGTTACCTTCATGAAATGTTAGATTTAACATTTGTTCCGACAAATCATTTCTTTGGTTGTTGGGCAATTCGGACAAAAAAGGCCGAATCGCAGTAGCTTTATTTTTGCGTTTCATTAAACGCAAGCTGATACTCAATGCTGCACAGTACGATATTTTTTCTTACATTTAATTTACACGTAGTTGAAAACATTTTATGATTTGTTTTAATCGCTATGCATAACAAAACTGTTTTAACTAGTGGTTACACTAACTAGTGGTAACAGTACATACTTTCTTGCATTACATCTGAAAAAATATTTCGAAATATACAATTTTCATAAATTAAGTGAAGCGAAGTTAAACGAAAATGAGACCTGCGCCATTCTCTTAAGCGTCCTTTGTTCTATATGTGTGAAAAAATTGAAGCAAACATTTGTAGTGTGTTTTGAGAATTTTTTATGATTTGCATTAATTTCAAATATAATTTCTCTAAAACAACACGCGTTTTAAAAAAAACATGACCATTTTTAAAGATCTGATTTTTAGAACAAATTTCATTTAAAATAAAAATCAGTGAATTCAATATTGTATTTTTGCAATGTTAACTTTTTGCAATTTCCGAAAGTACAGTGTTCGCAAAGAATGAAACCAGCACCAATTTTCATACCATCCTTTGATACATACGAGGAGAACTTTTTAAGAAAAAAATTGGAGTCTTTTTGAGTATAAAACTATTTAAAATTTCGAAGTAAAAATGTTTTTACTACACAAGCGATTTGTGCATGTTTCATAATACGAAACATCCTCATTGTGGTGATAGAAAAGCGGAATAGATTTATTGATAAGTGTTTCATTTCTTTGTACTCTAAAGGATAAAAGCGAAACAAAGTACAATTTTTTATTAAGGATAATCGCTTTTTGATTTATATATACAATATTAAGCGAATTTTACGTGCTTAAGTATAAAATAGGCATTTATTAGTGAAATAGCATTATAGGTGAAATAGGAAATGAATAAGTAACCAAAAATATTGCGTTTTTCATTGAAGACAAAAAAGGGCAAATAGGTAAAAATCCTCAGCTTAGTGATCAGTTATCACATCCACATCCACGGAGCTTGACTGATGTATTTCACTATGTTCTAATAAATTCGATTATTTCTCCATTTAAACACTTCAACACATACAATATCAATCGTACAATATCTTCGCGCGGAACCGAATTGAATACCTCTAACTTCAGTAAAGAGAGGCATTTCATTTATGATACTCGTAACACATTTCGTACAGATTACAAGTGAATGTAATATTTTCCTTCACCCCTTCTGTAATCCCATTTTTGATAGGATTGATTTAATTAGTTTTACAGCAAATTTTCTTACATTGAGTTTTGCTGGATGGCTCAGCTGTGTGAAAACTGTGTGAAATTATCATGAAATAGTTATGAATCACAAGTTTTGATTTTTTATCAGGCGCAAACATCGACCATTTAAAACAAGGAAAATGTATTTCCTAATCACGAACATTTAAATATGAACGATTTAAAATAATGAAAGCAGAATATATCTTCATCATTCATTGTGAGCCATTAGTGTTGTTAACATATTCGTATATTTCTCAACCACACCTTAGCGGTTTCTCTTTAAATGTTGACCTAGGTATGAGATGTATTGCAATATTTTATTTTACAACTAAAATCACCTCACGAATCCATTTCATTCATAAAACGAATCTTAGGAATGCACTTGGAATACTCTACATTACTTAAGAAGTAAACTACGAAGAGAAATCTACCACACTATATTATTTTTTCAATATTCCACATCTGAACCACTTTATTCATGAGTGATTCACAAGACTTCCAATGAAATTTCTGGAAAATTCTAAACTTGCCTGAAAAAATTACCTTCAAATTGTACATATTCAGAAACGCTCGAACGACCTATTCTCAAAAAGGGTTTCAAATTTTTCAATTAAAATTTGCATTTAGTACCAGGTTTTGCACTTCTTTAATGTTCTTCAACTCTTCGGCGGCCGAAAAATTGAGAAAATGTGGAAAAAAGTCATTTAGGCGCCAATAGATGGCACCTGGGAGGAGTGTGAAGCAGAACAAAAAAGCAAGTCCACACACAAGAGAATGTGAAAACTAATACGAGAAAGTATGTACTATGTTGTATCAGTAGTTTCTTTGACTTTAAGCCCTTCTTGTGCATTGAGCGTATCTGGCTCATGGTCTTTTTTCTCTCTTCACGTCGCAGTCAGTCAATCAGGTTTCATAAGCAAACTATTTCATTTAAGTATTTCTATGAGAATACCAATATTATTTAAAATTCATTCTAACGCTGACGAAAGTTAGAAAGTCCATCTTTGAGGTAGTACATCAACGAATGCAGGTAATTCCCCGCCACTATTTGTTTACTAGAATTAGTTCTAACAAAAACATCACGTGTAATCGGGGTGTAATAGCCTTGATTGGCAACAAGGGGTGAGTGAAAGGGGGGAGGGGGAGGAGTAAACAGGAAAAAGTCCAAGTCGCTTCACCAGAGTAAACTCTTACTCCTTGTTTGGTGAAGCCGACCGTAAATCCACATGTAATTGGTGACAATGGAAGTTGCAATGGTAGAACCAAGTAGAACTACGCTCGACATCGAAAAATCAGCGTGTTGGTACTCAACGATCACGTAAGTAAAAAATAATATATTTACTCTAATCCACACAAATGCATTTCATATTACAAACCAACTCAGGTCAAAATTGAAACTTGACAAGACTGCATTTCGCCCCCGAACATTGCCCAATTTTTAACTCTATTTTGACGTTAAATAGGTAAAATAAATAATAAAATATTTCTTTAGCCACTCTTTGAATGTATTGGAACAAATACAAGTTTGTACTAGAATAATGGACTAATCCATTTAATCATACCAGGAAAGATATTAAACGTTTTTAGATCTACCTGAAAAAATATTTTTATTTTTTTTAGCGTTATCGCTTTCAGGTACAAATTATCTGATTTCGATAACAGTTTTAAACGTGTTTCATCCATTTCCTATATTACATGTGTACATCAAACATTTGTCGCCGAAGCAAATACCAATTGGTATTAGAAGTATTTTCTACGACAATATTAATTTTGCCTCTAATCTAACAGGAAAACCATTTAGATACAATTGCTTATTATATCATGATCTGTTGAATATAATCAAACAGAAAGGCATTAGTTCTACCAAGGGCTCACAAAAATCAATTTGTTTTCAAATTTTATGAGTACTAACTTTTTTTGGTTTTAGTTGTTTTTATTCTCGTTTATATTCATTCTTAATTTCTGTTCAGTCTTAATTATGAGGAGTTGGGTAATTATTATGAAATGTTCAACATAATTATTATTGTTGTTATTATTATCCGATATCAATATTTTATTATCGACAAATTTATATCTAATTATAATCATATTTTTAATAGCAGATGCCTTAGTTTAAATCTTCAAAAAGGCAGTTTTTGGGCTCTTCAATTTATTTCAATGTATGAAAAATCCAATAGTACTATTTATTTAGTTCCCAGAATCTTGGCAGAATGGCTTCTTATTATAATTACAATTATAACTTACAATAACAAGGACCCCTTAACTGTGCTTCTGGAATTGTCATTAAGGTTTTTAGTTTGCATTTTTGTAAGTTATTTATTTTAGCTTTGAATATCTACTGAAAATATTTTGCCTTATTTTGTCCTTTTATTTTCTCACACTAATTATTTTCCTTTTATCCCCTACCACCAATATTGATCAAGCTGGAAACTTGAACATATAGACACTGTTGTATTTTGTCTTCTCTGCAAATGAAGCATGATATTTGATAGGAAGTGTAGAGCTCTTCCCGAAGGTTCAGGAAGTTACTGAAGAGTCAGGAAATGTTGAAAATTACTGGTACAATGCAAGACAAGTCCCTGTGAAGATTTTGGGATAACTTTGATTAATGACAAGCATAAATCACGCTCCAGAGGAATCCCCGTGCTTCAGAGGAAGTCCCTGTGAAGATTTTGGGATCTTTCATTAATGACAAGCATAAATTTGTCATATTTTACATGCATTTTTTCACCCTATTTCATTTCTATTTTTGAGTCTCATCAACAGCTCTGGTCATAAAAAATAAGTCACATTAAATTTCACCCTTACTTTGAGGCATAATAAATTCCTGTACTTCTAGGTTCGACTTGCATCTGAATTACATACAATATATCTCAGATATCCCTAATTTAGAGGATGCCTCCTGAGAATTTTTAACTAATTTTTACTATTTAGTCAAAATAAAATTGCAAATCGTCGAATTAACTAGAAACATATTGCCTGAGCTAACAATATTTTCTTTTTCCTTAAAAATCATCATAATCTTGGTTTTTATCACAAGCCTTTTCATCGTCACATGTAGGTCTATCATTGTTTCTTTCTTTATAGTCTTTCTTCTATTCTGCGGCGTCATCTTGACATTTTGGGCTCCTCTTGGAAGTTTTACGCGTTAGATTTGCGTACTACTTAGTATTTCAAATGACGCCACTTAAAAATATATCCTTGTATGCCACCACGTTTTCTTCGTCTGGCTCTTATTCGTGGCTTCTGATATTTTAACAGTTCTTTCACATTCATTTACTACTTGAAATTCGTATTGTGTAATGATCGATCGAGTTGAAAACTTGCAAATTCGTACACCAGTTCCTCCGATTCGCGAATTACGTGGGAGATCGCGGCAAGTTTTCGAGTTTGGGGAAAGTTTTTGCAGTTTTAATCATCATTTTCTGTAGTTGGATGTGGAATGCGTACTTCTATCCATCTCTGGCAAAACGCAGATTCAGACTCTCCAAGCGCTGAACCGAGAATCCGCTCAGCCTCGTTGATCAACAAAATCGTACTTAACAGAGGCGGATCCAGACACGAATTTTGGGAGGGGAAATTTTTTATTCAAAATGTTTTGGTCGAATTTGTTATATAACAGATTATGTAGAATGATTTAGGCTAAACGCAGATCATGTTGCGGTACAATTTTATTTATTTTGATGTTTATACAAAAATATTTTTGCGTGAAAGTGTCGTAAGAAGATAAAATTAACAATTACTGAAAAATTTGGAGAGAGGAACTTTCCCTCATATTTCACCCCATGGATCCGCGCCTGTATTTAAGAAACTCTCGCTGACGATTTTTATACAATTTCACGTAGCATTTCGCATGATACAATGACATTCATTAGTGATTCTCTCTTTATCGATTCATGGCAAATTTTCTATCTGAAGTGCCCGAAAATTCGCGGTGGATACCGAACAGTTGCGGAACTACCAGTGGTGCAGCCAGGGCCTCGGGCTTTAGGTCCCGCACACCAACTGAAAAAAATTCTTAGATTCATGTTCTTTTTTTAATATATTTCAATTTATAGTTGATTGAAATAAAAAAATAACAAAATTGAGAAAAAAGTGTTGTTCCACCTTCATGATTTTTCCGTAATTAATTTCTTAGTCTGTCATTTTTATTCAAAGGTAAATAAGAAAAGTACATTATTGCCGAGAGCGCCATTTCTCCAGAGGCTTTTACAATGTTTTATGTATCAGGGAAGCGAACCTAAAGTTAAACAAGAGGAAATAATCAATTATATTCACATGGTTGTTGTATGTATATTTTGTTATCATTTGGATTTTTTTTTAAATTTGTTGCGTCTGGATTGACGTAACGCGTCTCCCAGCCCCTTGAGGAGGGGGGTGAGCGCTTTGCCCTTGTAGTAATCCTTCATTAATTTGTGCACTTATGCGTAATCCTCAATTACCATTATCTCTTATTACATTACGTCACTTGTCGCAGTGAGGACCGCCAGGTAGCATCTCCGTGTACGCGCCTCCTTGCGTCACTACCCAGCGGCCAGAATTAGAAGCCCTTGTGAAGCAGCCAAACTCGTTTTGTTGGAATAAATTTCACACGAGATAGTACGGGAAACGAACTTGAGCCTACTTCGTTCTGAGACAGCTTTTTTCAATTTGTTTACATTAATGGGTTAAGATTAATTTAATATATAAATAACAATGGAAAACAATAAATATTTACAAATTGCCTATAAGAGTAAAAGAGCATTATGTCAATTTCAATATATTTATAAGTATCAACATTTGAGTGGTCCCTATTCCCAAGTGCAATAAAGAATTTTGGATAAATCACATTGACTAATTTATGTTCACTGCACTTCTCACAACTTAAATCTTGTCTTAAAAATGCCATCCAGAACATGTTTGAGGATTCAAAATTTTATGATTTGCTGGAATATATATATTCGTTTTTTTTTCTTCTTCCAATAGTATAAAATAGTGGTCTTTATTATCCAACATGATATGTTTGCAAAATAGTAATGAGATGAATTAGAAGTTGAAGCGACTTTGTTCAACTAGGTGGTCAAGAGAAATGATTCTTTATTGGCGATAACTATTCAAACATTTTGCAAGCTCTTTTGATAATAATGTTGACTAGCAAAACTAAATCTTAAAGGGACAATTTCAAGCCCATCTTCCAAGTATAAACAGACAAGGCTTATGACAAGTTACCATCGTTTAAGTTTCTAACATTAAAATTTCTTGTTAGTTCTCTCTTTATATTTCATACCTAAAGCAAACTTGACATCTTTGTCTTGTCTTAGAATGAGACAAATAGTGTTTCTCCCAATCTCTCTACATTGTTAGACGTTTAACACAAACTAGCACAGACTGTTTCTTCCTACAATGCAGGAATGTAGCAGGGATGGATTTAGAGACAAATTATGGAGGGGAAATTCAAAATGTTTTGGTCAAATGTGTCTTGTTACAGATTTTGTAAACTGTCACAGGCTACACTCAGCTCATGCTGCGATACTATTTTGTTCATTTTAATGATTAACCGAAAATATTTTCACTTTAAAGTTTCATGACATGTAAAAATTAATAGTTACTGCAAAATTTTAGGGGAGAAATTTACCTCATTTCCCTACCCATTGATCCGTGCCTGAATGAAGTTGCCTGCCATGATATGACTATAACTTTGATTGCAAATATTAGTTACGAAATGATATCTGTATAACATAATAAATGGGGAGTGTATCCCCTCTTATAAATTGTTAAAAAATTATTCTAACACAATGTTATTACTCGGAGTGGATTTTGATGACCTAAAACATTACCCAAAATAATTAATAAAATGCTCCTAAAATACTTTAAAAATGCCCTAAAAACAAAGTAAAATAATGTATTAAAACCCCTTCCGATGAATAACTCGAGCTGCTGGTTATATTACTGATGTAATCGAGGCTTCTTCCATTTGTTCAAGTGAACTCAGCTTGCAAATTTGTGGATTGGACTGTTCTTTCAAATAAAATATCTGTATTTATCGCGAAACCAGACGAACTGAAAATGGCGCTGGTGGGTTTCACAGGAACTTTGGATTACATAGTACTCACAATATATGAAGAAATTGAATAAGCTACTCAGGAATTCTGTGATGATCATTTGTTGCACCTCATAAATATTGTTTGAAGCAAGTACCATGAAATTGGTATTAAAATCAATTAAATAAGCAAAATGTGCATTAAAAATTACATAAAATGGTAAAAAATTACTTATTATTCAAAATCGACAAAAATTTTTTTAAAAATTACCTATAAAAATTGTTCATAATATAAAATAGCATAACATTTCTTCATAACGTAACATTTTTGTCATAACATAAAATTAATTTGTATTCTAAACAGCATTGTCCCACAGTGAAAAGAAAAAAAAACAAAAACATTTCATTAAAGTCCATTCCCTAGTTATTGCATATGGTACTCTAACATGACTGTATACCACTTGTCTCTGACTCATTTTTTTGTTTTTTTGTAAATTACAGTGATTTACCTAATGATGCAGTCACAATGTGCTCCAAAACGTTGTAAAAGTTTCAAAGATGATGTGTAAATATCGACAATTTTATTTAACAAATGAATATTTTCGAAATGTCTGTCTAAATAACTGAAGTGTATCATTATGAATAAATAGGAAAGACAGACTTGTATTAACCAAAAGTTAAAATAAATGCCTTATGGACATACTAGGTTATTCAGGTGGAAAAAATACAAATAAAATACAACACTGAAATGTAGGAACTTCTTTTAAGTGCATTTTAATTGTTACACTCACATTCTCACTAAAAAAATATGGGTCATCAATACTTACACAGTGCATGTGCTTCACAAAACCTCTCATCCCATCTCACTTCTTGCTCTCTACCATGCAACTAGGACATTGAATTTGTCTACTCCATTATCAATAAAAACAAATCACTAAGTGACTTTTAGAACACTTCAAAATGTAAAAATTAATTAAATACTTTGGTGTAACTCATGGAAAAACATGATCCATGTTTTTGTATATCAGGCAAGTCTCAAAGATATTAAATGCTTAGTTTTTGCATTAGGTTGCAACAAATGTATAATAATGTGAGTATTGTTAACCTACAAGGTTTCATTACTTTTTACAAAAAACTTTAAATTTAAAGATTAGCAATACCTAAAATAATGCGAGATCTTATAATGAAATTACAATAAATTTGGTTTATCACAACTAAAGGACTGAATGAAGAAGTAGAATGAAGAAACAGAATAACAAGGAAAGTGTACAATTTTCTTAGGTATCTGTTCAAAATGCACAATACAATCGCTAAGGTGTGCATTACTCATATCTTTTGATAACAATAATACATTTTAATTCGATGGCTTATTGCTGCACACATTAATACCTTATGGACAAAATTACTTATTTAAGTTAGTACCGATGTGATAATTGGCCTACAAATGCTGAAAATACTGTGAATAATTCCATGTTATTCAACTTTTCTTTTGTCACTGATTGATTGTTTAATCTTGGTCATAATTTCAGTAAATATTAATGTTCCGGTGAAGACTAGAAGTGTACCAATCCAATGATGAATAGTGAATTCATTTTGGAAGTATAAAATGGAAAATAACAAACTAGTGAACTTTCGAAGAGTCACCACAAGTGTAACTGTCAGCGAAGAGCATTCTGTGGTTAAAACATATACAGAACTAATGCACACATATCTGTAAATAGGGTTAAGGCAAGTATTTGTAAATGAATGGCACAAACCTGGATAATATTAAATAAATAAATAAATAAATAATAATATTCAATTCATTGAAATGCATTAGGAAAAAGTTGTAATAAAAGATAATTTCTGTTCTTTAAAATAGTAACGGGCACATTTCAACAGAGTCAATACTAACTTAATATTTTCAGCAAAATAAATAAAGTGGAAAGGATACTGTGTTAACACATTGCCTACTAAATACATATACAACTTGGGCATATAGAAGCCCAGAACAGGAACTGGCACAGATTCGCTTTCAGCAAACGAATACAGATGACTATAAATATCGTTGAAAATGAGTAAAAACCCAGGAAGAGGGAGAAGATGCTGAAAGAAAAGAATTGTAATTTTTAATTTTAAAAAGTATATTTATAATCACTTATACAAAAAAGCATAGAAACAAACTTACAGTATAAAACAGGGCTTCTTTGGGATGTTTTCCATAACGACCATAAAGTGTTTCTTGATATATACCCATTCGGGCAGAAACAAATAATGCCACAGTTAACAAGATGATCCCTAAAACATTTTTAATAAAAGTTATATTAAATTTAAAGGCCTATGCAACACATAAGTAGTTTCAAAAAATATGTTGGAAAATGTTCTTGTAAATTTTTTTTGAAGAGACCATTTTGTAGAAACACAACTCATGTAAAGTTGCTAAACAAAATAATTAACACAACTTACCCACAACCCACCAAAAGAATATTTGGAATTCAGTTGTATTACTTGCATCTTCTTTTCCTGGAGGTTGTGTTGATTTCTATGAAAAAATAAAGATATTAAGGATAAATTTGTTTGCTAATGAAGTAATGTTTAGGAAGTTTACATTGAAAATTTTACAATAAAATCTCCACTTACTACTTCTTTCCCAGAGACAATTGTACAAATGACAATTCCAAGAGTTATCATGAACACAGATAAATATTTAGAAAATGTGTACTTCTTTTTCAATATAATTACTCCCATAACCATGTTGGCAATTAAAGATCCCTAAAACCAAAAAAATGTATTAATTAAAATTATCATTAATATAATTGTATAAAACCTCTGTGTAATTTAAAAAAATAAACACTTACTGCTCTGAATATCATATGGAGTGGCATTGGTATATTGAAGTTAAAGGCATAATTGTTGCAAACACTTGCAACAAAAAACATGACAACTAAAATGGAATAATCCCTGCAAAGAAACGGGTTAAAAAGTCAAAAAGAATAATAAATCATATTTAGAGACAATACAAAATGCAATAAATAAGGAAAAAATGAATTTTTTAGTGTTGTTTTTTCTTACTATCAAACAAGGCAATGTATGTAAGATAATGGAAATTTCTAAAATTGAAGAGACCTCCAATTATCTCCATAAAAATTGAATGATTGGTAAATAAATTATGAAATACAGTCTATAAATGTCCTCTAATGAAGTAAAATTCGATACGACAAGCCCTAGCACATGCCACCATTGTGTAAAGTAGATATTTTTCAGAATCTGTATTAGTTTGTGGAAAAAAATAAATAATAATAAAAAAGTACTAAATAGAAACAGATAGCCTTTCATGTTTTATTTCTCAGATTTCTTAAATATCAGATCACTCATAAAAACAAGAAAAATGGAGGTAACTTCATAGTGTACTGCGATTTTTCTACAGAGATATTAGATAATTGTTACAACTTCTGCCTTATATAATGAATCTTTTTAACAGTGGTAAGCACATTTCTGAGACTACGAGCCCCGTTGAGAAGGAGATTCATGAATTAATTAAAAATATTCAATTTTTAAGGCAGGAGGTGTAACAATGAACTAATGTCATCGGCCCCTACAGACAAATCGAAGTATAATCAGTATTTACTAAAATGTTTAATGTTATAATTTATTACATACTTAATTCCAATTCTGGGCTTTTGTGTACCACATTTTGAAGTAAACAAGAATCCCTCTAGAGCAATGAAGAGGAACTGTGCAAATGTGATGATGTGTCCACTACTAGGATCTTCTCTGAAAAAAAAGTATGTGTAACAATAACACACGGAATTAAAATACAACATCGGAAATTATCAATATCTCTGTACACATGATTTTGAAAGACAGTATCAATACAAAATACTAACTTAACCAGGAGTTCCAAAAATACTACATTACTACAACAACCCACAAACACGAAAATTATTGCTAATGCTTCTTTCATAGTGACGTTTAATGACGATATGTACGGAAAGTAGACCAAAAATATAGTGTCATTCTAAAACAGCAACATCATGATAAAACACAACACACATAACCACGCACTGGCCTCGCGAGTGCTAACAAGCCGCCCGCTGAAGGCCACATCGGCCGCCACGAAATCGCTCGAAAAATGACTAGTGATATCAGCCGGAGCGCGAAATTTAAATTGCAGTAATTTCTCGCTTACTAAACCAACGGATAGTGGGATCGAGACAGACGTTTTGCCTTTATACATCATAAAACATAGGTTATTTCTACACAACGTTAGAGGAAGTAATTTCCTACAGATGAGAACAAGATTTTTCCACTCTTCGTTTTCAGGGCCCCACAAAACTATTTTTTTTTGTCGAACAATCTCGTGTTTCTGCTGAAGCATTACAATACTTTCTTCTTACTACGTAAATACTTAATAAGTCGAGAAAGTAGCTAGTGGTGCTACAACAGCACGTCCTTACATTGTCACGGATAATTAATATATTACCTAAATATAGTACATTGTGTAATATTTTTAAATGTAAATCATTGCATAAGAATAAAGACGATGTGTTGTTCAGCCCATTGACCTGGTTTAAAGAAATTGGTGAATATATTTTAATTAAGTAAACAGAAGACAGAATTAAGCATGTAGTGCCTTTAAAAAATATGTTCCGCCTTCGTCGACGCAACGCGTCTCTGAACTAGTGGTGCGACATCGATGTTAGCGAACATCGATGTTCAAAATAACTCGACTAAAAACCATCAATGTTTTTCAACATCAATGTTCTTAGACTGAATTAGTAAGCCCTAACATTAAATTTGTGTTCATTAAAATTTAATTTGAAATTGTTCGTTTTTATCAATTCCCCGAATAAAGGTACGAGAAGAAGGGGCACCTACGCACACAGCATATTTGTTTACCTTATCTCAACGTGCAAATAAATATGGAGAAAGAGGAAATACAAGGGCGGGAAGGTCATCTCGGGCGAGAGAGTTTGGTCGATGAAGGAAGAGCAAACAGCGTTCCTTTGAATCCAATACATGAATAACAGTGTTATTACTCGCGCAACTTGTCTTGAACGATGGATTGAAGAAATGCGGGTTGAGTGGCGGTATTAGTTACGAAATTGGCCACTAAGGGTACGGGAAGACCTACGCACACAGCATATTTGTTGACCTTATCTCAATGTGCAAATAATTATGAAGGAAGAGGAAATACAAGGGCGAGATTGCCTTTATAAAGCAATGTCAATCTCTGGAGAATCAGACATGCCTTCGCAACGTTCTCAATAATTTGCGTTCTAACTTTCTCAGGTGTTCCAGGTATCTCCTGTAATAGCTCTTTACCAGCTTTGGTCATTTCTTTAGATTTTTGGAGAAAATAACGTATAGAAGTTCTCGTCTTCAACAGGAAATAGTTTTTATTTCGCGCCAGTGAAGATGTGTTTGGAATGTCATTAGTGCTCGCTGCGAGCTTTGCCTTCGTGCCAAAGAGGGGGAACCAAGGTCATCGTTCAAGAAAAGTTGTGCGAGTAACACTCTCAGTTATTATTTTATATTTTAACTAGATAATAGTATTGTAATAATGTGATTTTTTATTCTGAAACAAAACGTCGGAAAATAAAAAAAACAGCGATCACAAAACATCGATGTTAAAATAAATCTGTGTTAATACATCGATGTTTTAAAACATC